CACGACGGAGAAATGGATTAATTTTTTTTTTTTTTTTTTTAATTTCAATATTCAGACTCTTTTTATTATGGTGATTTCTTTCATTGAAGATTAAAAAAATAAAAATGTTATTTCTTTGTAATTTTTACTCATGATTTCTTCTTTGATTTAACGAAAACATTTTATAAAACGATATATCTTTATATTTTTTTCCTTCAAAACATTACGATATGAATGTGGTCAGTGTATTTACAAAATAAAGTTCATATTAAAATAATTATTTTGCCTAGTTTCACTCAAAACTACACACAAAACACGACATGTTGACCCTGATTACCAAACACAGACTTCCTGTGTACTGCTACGTGTATATAGATTTTTGACATCTTGGGTATTTGGGGTCTCCAGGTAAATAACATTACTGGAACTTTGACCACTCCCCCTTCTCAGGTAACCGTACGGTAAAAAAATTGGGTCTTTAAGAATGTCAAATAATTTGTGATTTTTACAATTGCTTTGTGATTATTAACAATTTAACATACAGGGTGTTTCATAATATATGTAGTATATAAATTTGATTTTTAATATTAACCTGCTCCCATAGTATATACTTCTTTTGATTACTGGGGATTGAGTGGGGAAATTTGTCTTAAAAAAATTGAGGTATACTGATTCCAACTAAAATTCATATATTGCATGTACTCAAGAAGTGCAAGTCAGCGTCTTCATGTTTTGATCAGATTTTCATCAAAGATTCGTTTGGTTGTAGTCTGGATTATTTTGAGAGCATTGTGGCTTAAGAAAACGTTATTGAAATACATTTATTGCAAAAAAAAAAAAAAAAGACCGAAGAAGATATATATGTAAATATTAGGTCTTGAATGCTACAAAATGATATTAGATGCATAATGCACAACCTCGATCACTTTACATTTCTGTTCATCAGCATTCATATGATGATAACTAGAAATGGGACGTAATTCTGATTCCTGATTATAAACTTATCTGATGCTTGCTGATGTTAATGCTACAAGGTTCATTATTAGTGCTGTGCGATATTACCGGTTAACCGGTGTATCCCGATTTTGTTCTTCACAATACGTATCGCGGTATTTTTTTGTGAATACCGGTTCGGGTTCGATATGCTATAAATTGTTACAAAAGAGTTAATTGCCCTTTTCAAGGTAAAATATGGTGGCAACCGACGTGAAGTGTGATCAGAAACCAGAGACATGTCTCTTTCAGAAACGACACGACGACAATTGTTACATGAAACCCCTTCATGTTAAAGCTGAATCTGAGTATTACAACTTATTTGAATTCAACAAGTTTTGCCACAAAAAAAACATATCTTGCCGCTTGCGCCGACATAACGCGATCAGGCAATTGGAATATCAACTCGAGAATACATGTAAATTGAGTTTGTGTTTTCATTTAACCTTGAAGAAAAGCAAAAAATTATTAAATATTTATATCGTGATATATTGCAATACAAAATATAATATTGCAATATATCGCGATACTATTTTTCCGTCGCGATACCCAGCTCTATTCATTATATGAATAAATTTTTACTTTGCAGTATTTGATTTATTTCATTATGTCTAATGTTAAAATGTTTCAGGGATTGGATACCGATCACTTGGTGATTGAACACATTATGGTGAATGCTGCACCCAAAATGAGGAGGAGGACATACCGTGCTCATGGTCGAATCAATCGTAAGTACACCTTGTAGCATTTCATTTGTCCTGTTATGAGGTCAATCAATGACGTACCAATTAAACACAAAATATTGTTAAATTACCATGATAAAAATGATTGTACATCTGACTTTTCAACTGCTTGAGAGGGATTTCAATTAATTACTTAAGAATGTGGTACCTCTAAGATTACAACCTACACCATTAATTTTCATGAAGGCTGCAAGATTTAAAATATTATTTTGGCTTGCAAAGTGACATTTTGTGTTGAAGTTGTAGATTGTTTCATTTAAAAGAATGTAAATATTTATAAACTACTCCCTGCTTTGTAATTGCAGCTTACATGAGCAGTCCCTGCCACATTGAGCTTATCCTGGCCGAGCGGGAGCAAGCTGTTCCACGACCAGGTGCCACTGATGATGAACCAGTGAAGAAGAAAGTTTCTCAAAAGAAACTTAAAAGACAGAAAATGATGATGAGGGATTAAATAAATTATTGTTCACTGGTGTTTTATCTTCTTTTTTATGATGTGAATTGCTCGGGAATTTGGAACAGTTAGAAAAAAGAATGTTGGACATAGGTTTTTTATGCAGTACATAAATATTGAAGTGTACGATAAAATATAGGGATAACATTCATTAAATATGTTTTAAACACAGAGAGCCAACACTGATCTCTGAAAATGCAAGCAAGATGAGGAGCCATGGGAATGCAAGGTCACTCCTATGCTCCTTGTCATTTGATAAAAAAATAATTTGTATAAAAGACCTCTACCTTGCACCTGGCAATGGATTATATTTGCAGTTGTATTGACCTTGGAATATGCTAACTGTTGACCTGTATTGTAACATCAACTTGTTCAACAATAGTCTGCGTCAACTTGGAAATTTTGTGACATAGAGCTTGCTTTTGTATATACCAGTTCAAACTAGGAGAAGTAAATAAAAAAGGTAATGGTACAAGGGAAGTTTGTTATTACATTTATATCAGTAGTTTATAATGGCAATGCTTGTAGCAAAAGATCAAGATGTAAAGTAAATGTGCTTGCCTCCGAAGTATGTCTCATTCTGAGTTAAATTGGATGTATTGAATGATTTAAATATTGTTCATTGATAAAACATTATTTCTAGATGTCGAATTGAAGGTCATAGCAAGAGACGTTCTTATTTTAATGTTGAAGTATATGTTCTGCTTCTAATGATACAAAAATCCAGACCTGCCAAGTGACCCGCATTCGGTGGGTCACACCCGCAAAATTGACCTCTCACCCCCCACTCTTAATGACCCGCGGCGTGTCATAGTTTTCACCCGCAAAATCGATCATCCAAATTTTTTGACCCAATATTAATAAAGCATGTTTGTCCCCACAAGAAAGATCTGAAAATTCATCCTAAAATTTCCGATTTGTGTTTTATAAATCAGGATATGAACATCTTGTTTATTCAATGCACACAGATTAGTATCTTTGTTTGCCGAGGTGTTAAAAAAACTGTTAATTAGCCACAGGAAATCACTTCACGCTTGATCGCAGACTGACACAGCTGTACAGGTAAATAATATGCCTGGAGCATTTAGGGGATTTTACGCAACCGTTTGAAGGGGTATATGCATGATGAACCACATAGATTTAGAGGTTAATTAAATATTTTATTAAAAACAGAAATTAATTAATTAAATACAATGATATGATAAACATTGGGATCGTTTTTTTAAAAACGAAAGTAAAAAAAACGAAACTACAAAGCATAACTGATGATAACAGCTGATTTTATTAGCTCTCGTATATTGAAATTATTGTTAAGTGTAGTGGTTAAAAGAAAATGATATTAATTAAGATAAAGCAAAAGAGTCTAAAGTGAAGTATATTGAATTTCTCCCCCCCCCCCTCCCAAAATGTACTAAGTATTGTACATTGTGTTTCTTTGTTAAATGGCTATGACAAGGGAATACCCACTTGTCAGTCACATCATGACTCTAACGATTTTAAGTTTTGTTTGGGGTGTTAGGTATTCTTCATAATTTATTTTGTAGTATTTGATTCATTTAATTTTTTTTTTTGTGTGGTATAAAATTAATAATAGGAAATTAGATGGCACATATTTCTTACCACCACCCCCTGCAGCAGCAATTTTTCAATATTAATCTTTCAATGTACAATTTTCTGATTGTGTAATATGTTGAAAATTAATCATTGTAGAATCTAATAAATGTTTCCCAGAAACTTTTTAAATTTTTAAACCTTTGCAAAAATTCCATTGAACTAAAATTATCTGAATCTTACTAATCCATCTGAAAGTGTTCTTATACAAGCAATTTTAAGTAACCTGTCCTAAGTAAAAATTAAGTCTGCAATAAAATATAACATATACATGCATGTGTTTGACTGTTTGCATTGATGCCTAAAAATTAGGGAGCATTTTGTTACTCAAACTTCAAAAAAATGTCGCCGCGCGCTGTGACCCAACATTTCAATTCTGAATGTTGGGTCATGACCCCCCACAGCATCAATTTTGGTTGGCAGGTCTGAAAAATCAGATCTGTTAAGAAGGGATTGGAATGCCAGAAAACAAGGGAATATTCCAACTGATTGTTGGAAGACAGTATAGATGAAAAATACTTCAAATATTTTTGTTAAATAGCAGCTTTGGAGTACTTGTATGTGGAAGCAGAAAGTTTTGCAGAAGACCAAATCACAAAATATATTACTAGTACTTGCTTATGCACATTCACAAGGTGTATTCTGAAGGGTCGGCCAATATTACTGAATTTTAAATTTGTTTTTATATGGGACAAGGATTTAATTTATTTCCCAGAAAAAAGTCAAACTTCCAAGTTCTTGAAGTCCGAAATTCGAGAAACAAAAGAAAATTCTTGTCAAAAGAAAATACAGATTTCATTTATAAAAGACAATTCAATTGCTCTCCGATTTTTTCGGCATGTCCACGCAACATATAAAAAATCGGGAAGCTAATGGAAGATCTAATTTTAATTAGATTGTGATAAAAGACCTGATTTCGACCGTTCAAAAGACCCAATTTAATGTTAAAGTTTTTGAAAAGCTGGCCACAGTATCGCACGGTAAAATACATGTGTATGTCGAAATATGAATATGCCACTATCTGTTATATCAAAATTAGATTTCTCTATAGACAAACAGATGAACAAAGCAAAATCAATTTGCCACCTAATAATATACAGATATGATAAATTAAAAAAATGAAAATTCTATCATTTCTTCATTTGCAATGACAACAAATCATGAAAAAAAACATGCAGAGATATGATAGAGTAGTTTGCTTAACACATATTTCTTAATAACTAGATGTATCTTTCCTGAGGATACACAACAGTCGAATTATAGTCATGTACTCCAGGCGATTTAACTTCATGCACTGGGAATGATAACCTGGCCTGTGGGTCGGGCATATTACGAGGTGTGCTAGATATCCGACTGCCGTTTTCTCGTGACGAGGAACTGTAAAGAGATTCGGGACATCGTGATTCCTCTGCAGAAGATGTCCTGGAGTACCGTCTATGATGTCCGCCCAGGTATACAGGGGTCAACCTTCTTCTATGCTGGCCTATTGAAGAACTCTCCCTGGAGGATGAGGATGAGACGTAGTTCCCGGCGCACTGTTCTGTAGGGATTTCGTCAGACTTATCGGGACTCCGTCTAGTCTCGGGGACAAATGAACTCTGCGTGCTACAGTACTGGGAATTGTGGGAGATTGGAGGAATGGGTCGTGAAACAGACGCCATGCCTCGTTTTCCTGGCGGTTTCTTCAGTACAGAGTCATCTGACGCTGCGACAGGTCTGTTGTCTTCGCTTTGGGTTATTACTTTGATTTCTATACTGCTTATCTTCATCCCCATCTGTGACCCCAGTCTTGTTACAGCTTTTCCTGTGGACTGTAAGCCCGCCTCTTGGGATCTTTGGGTGTACCTGTTGTCGTCCTTTGGTGGGCTACATTTCAATTTTACTTTTTGGTTAAATTGTTTCCATTCTTTCCATTTGGTTATGTTCATGCGTAGACATATCTTTGAATTCGATAGAAGGAAAAAAGGTTAAATTTTGTGGTTATATCGAAATATCATGAAATGGTTTTTCAGAAACACTTTTGTGTTACTTACCCCTAACCACACGGAGAACAGAACTAGTAGGAGTATGCCTAGTGTTAGAAGACCCACAAATTCCGCTCTGTAGGGAGGGTATAAGGATGCGCCGTAAATACACAGGGACACCACTGTTAACGTGGTGGGCGACAAAAGACACAGACACACTATATCAAACACAAGGCGCCATCTGTCTCCCGCAGTACCAGGGTTGGATAAATACTGAAAAGTTAGAAACCATAAGCTCACATTAGATGTTCTTCGTCAAACCAGTTAATGTCTTACTCTCTAATATCTAAATTAATTAGTGTCGATACTGAAAACATAAGATTATTAATGCATGACATGAATTTCTAACTTGACTTACCATATAAAATGGTTTGGGCCTCCTCTCCATGACGAAGTTGAAGTGACAGAGTTCACACTGGGTTTTGTCTGAGGACCCTAACCATCTCTGTAGACAGGACACGTGCATCAGACCGATAGACCCCGCGCAGTAACACAGGGACATCAGCTGCTCCGTGTTAGAGGTCCCGTGACAAATCCGGCATACAGGTTCACTGACAGAGCTGGAACGAGAGTTTTCTACAAGTTAACTAACCGTTTTGTTAGCTTTTGATTTGAATTATCAAGTACTGTGTAACTAGGCCTACAGAGCTAGACATCAAACTAAATGCAATATTTTTAAGAAGAGAATATATTATATACAAGTGAAAATACCCTCCTTATTATATAGGTGAATTTCATTACAAAAAATCTTCTTCATCCATGTGACGTTAGGAAAATATGAATGGATCATACAACAAATAAGAAATTGTGCCATGCCACTCTGTTATATTTTAAACACTAAAAAGATTTTCCTTTCAATTTTTAAAGATACCTGTCAAGGCTGAAGATTTGTGTGCTTGTATCAGAGATCTGCTGTCGCGGGCTGTTGCCAACGTTTATTGGTAGAGCAGAATTTCTGGACAGTTTTGTCGCCAACTGTGACTTAGATTCCATGTAGGGATCGAACTGACCGCGCTGACCTTGAACATGTAACAATGATTGCGGGTCTAATCTAGCCTCACTGTAGGACGGGGGCCTCTGTAGAGACGACTGAAAGGATGTGGTGCTAACACCACAGGAATTGTGTGTGATGTTAGATATCCCAGCGTCTTCCATATCAAGATAAAGTCTGCCAAATTTAACAATTCAGTCTTTTCCTCGACAAAAACATAGGAAAGCAAGTAAGTAAATTACCGATTTCTGTTATATTTATCGTCTGCAATCATACAGGATGTGAAAGAGCGAAAGAAAAAGAAAACTATACAAAGTAACTTTTTATTTTCCGAAAAAATAACAACAACAAAATTGTGACAACGTAAGGTAAAAGTGTTGATTTCCTCTTCTTTTAAATCCTTCATTTCTTTTAGTAAATTCCAAATTGTTGCCATTTATTCCTTCAAATAATTATGTTGATATTTACGGTTGTTAGAGGCACACATGGGCCTCTATATGCATAATTATGGGCCTATCTGTGTCTAGGTGTCATGAATTTAGTTTTCACTTGCTTTCTAGGGAGACATACTATATACTACATTTCATTTTACATGAATACATTAATGAAACATATATGGAGATAACGAACAGTATTCAAGATCAAAAGTCCATAAAACAATACATAATAGGAGCAGAGCAAACGCGGACCTTTAAAACATCAGGTGAGATCAGATGCCGTTGAGGAGTGAGCATTCGCTGCTGAACAGTCACACCCGCCGTGTACTCCTTGTCCTGATCGGAAAATAACGGAAAATTTCATCGTCAATTCAGTGAATAAATAATGGACTAACAATTAGTTTGAAAAACATCAGTCAGCATTTGACTCAAAATTAATTTGAAATTAAGATAAATTGTATTTGCTGATAAGGTCAGATTGGGTCGACTATAGAACTTACGAAATGATGACTTTAAACGAGACTGCTGATAATCTTGTTTCATCAACTTGTTTGTCAGTAATTTACCTTGTTTGAGAAATTGTTCATGCATAGAGCATGCTCTTGCGTATCAAATCAACCGAGATACATAAACTCCGTATGCAGGTGATGGAGGTATATATATATAGGTGCATAAGTAAGGAAGTTGACGATAGAAAAGTTAAAGTCATCACGTTTATCATAGAGCTTGGTTGTTTAGATTACCATTAACGTCTTCTTCAAGTAAAACATCTAAATATAAAGATGTGTCAGAACCTGTGGTATCTTATATCTCAAGCTCCCCGGGATATATCGTATTGACATAGGAAAGGAAATTACCATTGCTAATTGAAAGTACGTCGTAGACATATCTAAATGTCGAGTTGAAGGCCACAATATGTGTTTTCTTCTTTTGACGCACATGATTTTGCACAAATCCTGCTTCATATGAATACAAAAATGGGTCTGCTAATAACGGGATGCAATTGGTATCCATGGGAATTCCAATAGATTGTTGGAAGACCTGGTCTCCAAAAAACCACATGCATAGATACGCAATCAGAAACTCAAGCATCTTTTTGATATCGACTTCAGAGTACTGTACAATCAGTCTTTTGTTAACAAAATAATTTGGCAAATGACCAATGACAAGATAAGTAAATTTACGAGTTCCCAGTTGTCAATGATATAAAAAATTATAAAGCTGTTGATTTTGGTAAAATCTTGTGATTTCAAATTGTGCAAAAGTTCTTTGGAATTTTTAAGTAGCCATATCTGATTTACACTTTTATCCTTCACTACTGTTAATATCATAGTGAGGAGTAACGAAAGAGGCTTAGTTGAACATCTACTGGAGCCCGTTATGTATCTTTGTTGGTAAGGATTCTTATGAAGTGTCGGAATCCATATATATATATATATATATATATATATATATATATATATATATATATATATATATATATATATATATATATATATATATATATATATATATATATATATGGTACTTCAAAATCATTTTGGTTCTTTGGGATATTAAATGATATTCAGAACCTAACCCGCTTTTTCCTCCAATCAGCAGCTGCTAAATTTTCTATTAAGTTGATCACTTAATTGTTAAGATTTTCTGTCTATGCAGTAACTCTGCGGGCTGACTAATTAGCCAATGAAAAAGCGCGATTAGGTTCTAAGTTAGTTAGATCATATTAAGTAAAATTTTAGTGGTTAAGAAGGGGGCTCGGTCGCTTCGCTCCCTCCGCCCCTTCTTAACCACTAATATTTTACTTAATATGATCTAACTGTTACTAAAAACTGACATGATTTTGAAGAGTTTCCTACTAAGAAAGGGAACTATGAGTATAAATTGGATTAGAGCTTGTAGAATTAAATCCAAGTTCTTCTAAAAAAACAATTTATATAATGAGCCTTACAAAGACAATGTTAATGTATACAAATTTAATATATTTAACGATTATAAATGTCTTATCCAACTTCCAGCGATTTTCACCTGGCGTGTTTTGAGTTGTTTTAAAGTAATTATTTATATAAATACATGTACATGCCAATTTTATAAGAAATGCCAGTGTTTGTGACTGTGACAACTATGACATTCTTTGATTTTTTTAAATACATGTACTTTCCTGCCCCAGTAAACTTTCCTTGTTGAAATGACCAAAGAATCATTTATAATACGTACTGTGTAATGCTTGAAGATTATATACATCCAAGGCTTCACTCAGCATCATAACCTTCCTCTTTTTCAGTTATTAGTTACGTAGTCTAGACAAAGATTGCACACACCAGAAGTAGGTAGAAAAAAACCTCTAACGGTACTCATAGCAAATAATTAAACCTTAGTACATATATTGACAATGCTTATCGGTAATGCATACCATCTTTAAGTTTTGAATTTCACTTGTTTGTCCAGGATTACAGGAAGAAAGGTCCATATATAACCAACATATATCAAGGTTTGGTTCGAATGTTTAAGTGAATAAGCTTTAAGTTTAAATGGACTCATTGCCAGACGGAGAGAGGAGGAACAGGAAATTAATGGTCACCTGACTGAGACAGATCACCAGGCCACAAAGTTAGACCCGGGTAAGTATTTTATTCACTCAAATATTCAATATCTATCATAAATATTAATTGATTTAAACATAATAGCATCAAGGCAAAGAGCCGTTCACAGTAGACTAGTTCAGTCGGTATAGCACTCGCTTTGTGATCGGGAGGTCGTGCGTTCGAATCTCGGCCGCCGCTGACTTAAGTCGAAAAGAAATGGGTAGCAACTATTCCTTCGCCATGCCCTCGACATTTGAAGTAAAAGTTGTTGATTATTTGGACGAGACAAAAACCGAGTCTCCGTTTCACAACAGGCGTTGTCAGGATAACGATCCTTCACTGCTCCATGGTCCTAAGTGCTGAATAAAGGTCAAAATTTGCAGTCCTTCACCAGTATAATGGTTACGTCTCTAATATGAATGAAAAATTCTGGAATGGGAGGTAAAACAACCAACATACAATCAAGGCTGAGAATGTTAAGGAACATGCATTTCAAATTCTGTTTCCAAACATCAACAGTTGAGTCAACAGCTAAGTAATAATTAAAAATGTTCACAAACATGTACATTTCTTTGAATTCACAAAGTAGTAATTAAATAATTATATAGATTTATCCATTTTAACAATTTCAGAAAAATCGAATAAAAGCGCAAGTGTAAAAACAAATAATTAAAGCAATATGAGCTGCATTTTTGAAAATTTTATTTTTCTGTTAAAATGTGTTATTAAGATAAATTTGTATGTAACTTGAACCTATATGATCAATTAGACTAAAATAACGCAGAAGAAAGACTTTTATATACAATCCATTATGCAGTTTTATATAAGAAATCATTATTGTTAAGGACGACAATAATGTTATTTGGATTCAATCGAAGCTTATAAATAGTTCTTTCATAGCAACTATGAACAACAGAAGTTTATAAATGTTTTTTTTCTTTCATTGAAATAGTAATCTGCAATTTTGCAATAAAAAATTCCGACATCAAATTTGCAGCTCACATTGTTTACACCACTAGTTATTGTATACGTTGACACCACTACTTATTCTATTAGGTGGACACCACCAGTCATTTAATGGTCAGCGCCAGTTATTGTATAAGGTGAACACCAACCATCACTTTATTACGTGAACACCACCAGTCATTGTATTGAGTGAACACCACCAGCCATTTTATTAGACGGACACCGGTCAATGTATTGAATGTATTAAGTGGATACCACCAGTCACTTTTTAGGGGGATACCACCAGACATTCCTCGGTTACTTTCTTAAACAATGTCTTCGTCTTTGAAGTCTTTATAATTTCGCCTCTTTTCATGACGTCAAGACGCTTCCTCTGAAACAGAACAATACATGACGAATTATATGGAAAACAGAAGTTGGTGCTGGTGGTGATTCAAATTTCAGTGGAGAAAAAATAATTCTTTGCTGGATTATACCGTGATAAATTTTTCAATTGAATAAAGAACCCGAATATTATCTCGAATTCACATGACTCTAAAAGTATACTAAATTGAATTTACAACATACATTGTACTGCTTAAGGTTATTGTTTACATCATATCGCCTGGTTGAACCCTGAAAGAGAAAAAAAGTTATCCAATCAATTTGTCTGTGATGAATCGTCATGACAATTCAGAGAAACAAACTTAAGCCTTATCGTAAAAAAAGTATTAATATTTTGCTGCTTCAAACTTTTTTTTCAGTTCATTTAAGAAATAAAGATTATGCAAGTGATATAATAAATACATCATTTATTTGATTTTTTCTTATTGGTCAGTTAACTTACACTGAGAAGGACAATGATCATGAACATGAACTGGATGAAGGCGTACAGGCCACAGAAGGCATAGAAGGCGTACTGATCAGCCTCACTGAGTGTGTCGTCGTCCGAGATCAGGGCCTCCGATATAGCGTGCCACATCGCCACCAGGTACAGGAATATCGTACTGCCGATAATGTATCGATCCTAGAAACATTAAATAAATATAGGTCAAAGGAGAACCATACTGCCGATGATGTACCGATCCTACAAATTATAGATAAATATGTGACAGAAACAGGAAAATCGTACTGCCGACGATGTACCGATCCTAGAAACATTAAATAAATATATGTCACAGGACAATTGTACTGCAAATAATGTAGCGATCCTAGAAATTATATGTATTGGCTTAAATGTACTTCAATGATTATCTTCCATGGGAGTATTTCAGGGGTAAAAGGCTTGAGGTAAAGTCCATATGAGAATATCCGA